TAAGTCCTCACCTGTAATTCCACCCCAACTACAGTCACATTTATTGAACACTTACTATGTGCCAGGTACCTAAGTACATTACATGTATCTGACTAATTTAATATCCACAGCAACCTATTATGATCTTTACGTTGCATATGAGGAAACTGAGGCACACAGAATTTAAGTAACTTCAAGGTCACACAGCTAGTAAGTGGCAGCACTGGGATTCAAACCCAGAAAATCTGGTCTCAGAGCCTCTGTGCTGACACTGCAGAATGCACGTGAGCAAAATATTATCATGGAGATAATTTGCTCTACCATATTTTAGGTTTATCATTTGCAAATGATAGCATCTTGTTATTAATAATCAATGACTTAGAATGTATCTCACAGTTGATGGGGGCTCACTAGATATTCACAGAACTTCACCAATACATAAGAACTTCAATGTCTTGAACAACCCCAAATGTCTAATGGTTTAAACTTAACTGGTGAAAATGCCTTGAGAATTTATTGCTTCCCTACCCAATATTATGGAAAGTAAAAACTTAGCTTTTCCATTAATTTTCAGTAAGATATTGTTGCAACAGTTTTCTTTATCTGTATTTCTATTAGAGTGAAGGTTTTTATGGTATGAAAAGTGAATATTCTCCTCTAACAATGTTTGTTATCAATGAATCAAAACTCTTTCAAATCCTGATGTTTCCTGAGAAAAAAGAAAACCCAAAAGTCAAATACCTGGCCTGTGCCTACAGGACTGTGGGAACCAAAGACAAAGCTTCAGCCTTCGGAAGTAAGAACACCACTTACTCTACTGAAGAAAAAAAAAAAAAAACTGCTTTGAATGTCTCAGATGTAAAATCCTGATTATGTAAAAGGTACTTTCAAGGTGAATTTAATTTTCAGAACATCACTTGAATTAATTTAGCCTGTTAAATATATGTCTTCTTTTCACAGAAGATATCAATAGTGGAGAAAATGTTTTATGAATTGTAATAACGTAGCTTTATGAATGATATTCAAAAGGCGTATCAGAAACGGAAAGATAAACCAAATACAATTTTACAAGAAAAAAACTTGTTTTACTTATCCTGTGTTATCTTCTGAAAGTAACTCAGAAGGTAGGCTTATTTTTTTAATCTAATTTCGTTCACCTTTAAAATGTGATTGCATTTCAAAGTAGATTCTATTTTAACAACTTCCTTTCTATAAAACATTTAAAGACAAAGTCAAACAATGCCATCTACAGGGAGCCTTTAGAACAACAGATGTTTCTATAACCCATACTCTTCTTTAAAATACCTATAATCTGACATATCATATTTCACATCATTTAACAAGGAAATTTTCAAAAAAGGTAAAAAAAAAAAATTAAAAGATATGCAGTATAAAAAAAAATTCCCTGCCGGGCGCGGTGGCTCACGCCTGTAATCCCAGCACTTTGGGAGGCCGAGGCACACGGATCACAAGGTCACGAGATCGAGACCTGGCTAACACTATGAAACCCCGTCTCTACTAAAAATACAGAAAATTAGCCGGGCGTGGTGGCGGGCGCCTGTGTTCTCAGCTACTCAGGAGGCTGAGGCAGGAGAATGGAGTGAACCCGGGAGGCGGAGCTTGCAGTGAGCGGAGATCGCGCCACTGCACTCCAGCCTGGGCGACAGAGCAAGACTCCGTCTCAAAAAACAAACAAACAAAAAACAAAACAAAAAAATCCCACTATCATTCTAGATTAGTAGTTCTTACTTAAAAATAACCTAGGCCGGGTGCGGCATCTCACACACATAATCCCAACACTTTGGGAGGCTGAGGCGAGTGGATTGCTTGAGGTCAGGAGCTCAAGACCAGCTTGACCAACATGGTGAAACCCCGTCTCTACTAAAAGTACAAAAATTAGCTGGGTGTGGTGGCAGGTGCCTGTAATCCCAGCTATTCCGGAGGCTGAGGCAGGAGAATCGCTTGAACCTGGGAGGCGGAGGTTGCAGTGAGCCAAGATCGCACCGTTGCACTCCAGCCTGGGTGACAACCCAAACAACAAAGAAGTAATTTCATTTCCAACTTCACCAAACATATGATCCATGGACCCTTGGTTGTAAACTGTGGCAGATTAAAATGCAAAGCTATGCAAACTCAGAGAGGTTTAAAGTTATAACTGGTGTACAGAAGAGACTCAAGTCATTGGAGACTAGACCTGCAACAATTTTTAACTGTGGAATCCCCCTTCCTTCTTGATTAGCATCACCTTTGCCTTCTTGGCCAGATTCTCTAAATTTTCAGATTATATTTATAGTCTATTTCAGTTTTCAAAGCTCAGTTCTGTTTATTTTAAAACCTCCTATTTCATACAAGATTCCACATCGGATTCAAAGTGGTTTTTTTCCGTATGTACTATAGGCCCACTCTATTCACAGATGGTTTGCTTTTTATATACTTTCTTCTTTCTTTGTTCTCTTCTCCTTGGGAAGTAGATGCTAAAAGAGGTTTCCTTGTTGCAGTGGTTCTCAATTTAAGGCTAAACATTAAGACCATCTGGAACCCCTTAACAAAAATACTATGCCTCTGATTAAACTGGACTGGGAAAGGGTTTTGTGTGCTTTTAATTTTTCACGTGCAGCCTGGTTTGAGAAACACTGCCTTAACTGTGGGATTGCAACCCTTTCCCTAATTGGCTATAACTGCATTCTGGTAAGTGGTTTACGGGCTCCACTGTGCAGAGGCAAGCCATACTCGCCCAGAGGCCAAGGCATTGGCAGTCCCTTGGGATTTGGGAATTAGCTATGTCCTGGCTGAGCCCCAGCTGGTGGCATCACCTCATCTGTTGCACTTGCCTTTTAAATGTCATCCCCTCCTTCATATTGCAGAAGTCTTCTAACCCTCAACTCCTGCATCATCTCTCAGGCTGGCAGGGTGCATCTTCAATACCCCTCAGCCTTACAGTTCCCACATCACTCCTCCAATTCTATCTCCGTGCTTTGGAATCTGCTGCTGGTGCGTAAACACAAAGCCAACCAGTAAGAGAAATACTGGTCTCCCATACTTGCAAGCATCTTGAATCTCTAGTAACTTCCTCAGGCCTTCCTCCTGTGGTTTTGTTTTTTCGAGATAGGGTCTCACTGCCACCCAGGCTGGAGTGCAGTGGTGCAATCATGGCTCACTGCAGTCTCAACCTCCCTGGGCTCAGAACCTCCCACATCAGCCTCGCTAGTATGGATGGGACTACAGGCGTACACCACCACACCCAAGTAATTTTTTGTATGTTTTGTAGAAACAGGGTCTTGCTGTTGCCCAGCCTGGTCTCAAGCTCCTTGGCTCATTTGCCTGCCTTGGCCTCCCAAAGTGCTGGGATTACAGGCATGAGCCACCTCACTCAGCCTCCTCCTGTGGTTTGCGAGTGCAGGTACAACCTGTTACTTCTCCACATTTGAAAGCCCAAGAGACTAAATTACATTCCCTAACAATGGACTCCACCAAGAGGAGACCTCTTCCAGGGCTCCCCAGCTGTCTGTGGAATAGTGGTTGGTGATGGAGCACGTTCTCTGAACTGGCAGCCTTCAGCTAAACCCTGTAGCATTCACTGGGCCTAACCACCACTGGTCTAATCTTAGAATGTGAGGATTGGCACCTTATGACTTCAGTTTTGGCTTTATTCCAGAACAGGAAAGATATCCTATTTGACTTTTTTTTTTTGAGACGGAGTCTGTCACCCAGGTTGGAGTGCAGTGGCTCCATCTCAGCTCACTGCAGCCTCCACTCTGGGGTTCAAGCAATTCTCCTGCCTTAGCCTCTGAAGTAGCTGGGATTACAGTGCACGCCACCATGCCCGGCTAATTTTTGTATTTTTAGTAGAGACAGAGTTTCACTATGTTGGCCAGGCTGGTATCCAACTCCTGACCTCAGGAGATCAGCCCGCCTCGGCCTCCCAAAGTACTAGGATTACAGGCGTGAGCTACCATGTGGGGCCTATTTGACTTTCAATTACAAATTTCCTCTACAGTCAGTACTTAGGTGAGTTCTCCAGAAGCAAACAGAGAGCAATGTACGCAAACATTTATCAAGATAAGGAATGGGAATAGCCGAACAGGAAGGGGGAGGAAGTCAAGCAAGAGCGTGATTTTGGCAAAGTTGCATAGAGGCTGACTTCAGGCTGATTCCTCCAGGAAATGAGTGAAGTTTCATTTTTCTGAACTAAAAGAGCTGGGTTTTCATATAAGTGAAATCAAGGGCTAAACTAAAATAAAGTTCAGGCTGAAGACACACAGATAGTGTGTATTAAAAGAGGGCCAGGTACAGTGGCTCATGGCTAGTAATCCCAGCACTCTGGGGAGCTAAGGAGGGTGGATCACTTGGGTCCAGGAGTTTGAGACCAGCCTGGGCAATATGGTGAAACCCTGGCTCTACAAAAAATACAACAAAGCTAGCCAGGCGTGGTGGCACACCTGTATTTCCAGTTACTAAGGAGGTTGAGGTAGGAGGATCACCGGAGCCTGGGAGAAGGCTGCAGTAAGCAAGACTGTGCCACTACTGCACTCCAGCCTGGGCAACAGAACAAAACCGTCTCAAAAAAAAAAGTAGAGAGAAAGCAGGAGGGCATAAAAATTGGAGGGTGAAAAGACATTTAACTAACCTGGGTGGACTACTATAGTCAAGGTCAAACTTATTTTTACAAATTTCATAATGTTATAAAACAAGCTAAAAAGTGGTCATTTGTCCTAAGACATCATTAATAACAGCTAGCACTATCTGTACCTCACAAAGCACCATACATTTAGATTATACTGCCTTGCAAACTGCTTAATGAAATGCTAAGTGTAGTATGAACAAAATATTTTGCGGGGGGGGAACCCCAAAAATCAGCAATGGAGACTTTTAAGATTGAAATAAACCTGAAAAGAATGAACTGATTTCTTGACTTGTATCCTTAATGTCTCTAAATAGGCCTGCTTTTGCTCTTTCTGGAAAGCAGTTAACTGCTTAGATGTTTACTTTCTTCAGAGGTATTTCTGAAATTCACAAAGTCACAAGGTCTCAAAAACAATGTTTATTTTAAGACGTAAAATGTACCATCTAGCACCAATGCCTGTAAATACCAAAATTCTATCCGGTTACTACTCTTTGGAACAAATATGATTAAAGTCCTTGACAGATTATTGTATATGAGCAAATGGCTTCATAACATAAAACAGAGACACAGAACAAAAATTCATTTGGTATATACATACAGAACTACATTTGTAGTTATTCAAAAACCTTTCACTGTTTCATATAAACAATACCAGTATTTTTAAGCCAGATTTTCCTGGAACATATACATAAAGAAAAGTACATGAGCCACGTAAGTGCATAAGCCTGAAACTGGTCTTTCTATTCTCACTCCATTATCAAATGAAAAACCTGTAAAGATATCTTTTGTTCCTCCAATCTTCTGATTTGTCTTCTTAGCAACTCATTACAATATAATTTACTGATTAAATCACACAGATATGTATGGTGGAGGAAAAGAAAACTTTGGCTAATATAAGTATACAAGACAGTATCTCAGTTCTTCTTAAAATTAAAAGAACATTTAAGTATTAATATTTTAAAAGAAATGAAGTGGAAAATACAAATGATAAATATTGTATAATTATGTACAAAATGAAAACCTGTTAAACTTTGGAGACAAACTAAAATTTACTAGTTTGAATTTAAAACATTATTATATAATAGTAGACAGTTCTCTTCAGAAATTTATCTCTAGTTTCCTATAAAAGGTCAAGTCAATCATACTGGTTCACTGTTTTTGGCAGATTTTAGCCTCGCCTCAAAACCAATTTTTATTTGAATAACTGACTCCCAACATTTCTTTTAAGTAGAACTTGATGCTGAACTAAGTAACCTAAGCTAGATTCAGGGCCATTGGCAGGCAGGCAGGTAAGCAGACATTTTTCGTATTGCAGGCAGCCCATTGTGGTCGTCATTTATACATCGGCTCTCTAAGGATGTGCCAGAAAAAAATCTGTGAACACAATCTTCCCATGCTGTATTCACATCTTTAGTTCACCCAGGTTGTTAGAGGCTTGGGTAAAATGATTAAAGGCTTCACGATGTAAATTTCTATAAGAAAAAAAAAGGAAACTTAAAAGATTGATTTACCACAAACTATTTACAGGGTATTTAATAATGCCTAATAGGCCTCACAATGCCTAGTATGCCTAACAGTGGTTACGTGCAATTCAAGTGAACAACCATGCATGTTTATAGATGGTTCCTCGCTGACACCTAACAGGCAAGTGAAGAAAGAACAGATGCACTGGACATTATCAAAATTAAAATACTTGTGCTTCAAAAGACACACCATAGGCCGGGTGTGATGGCTCACACCTGTAATCCCAGCACTTTGGGAGGCTGAGGCAGCAGAGCACTTGAGACCAGGAGTTCGACACAAGCCTGGCCAACATAGTGAAACCCAGTCTCTACTAAAAACACAAAAAAATTAGCCGGGCATCATGGCACATGCCTGTAGTCCCAGCTACTTGAGAGGCTCACACAGGAGAATCACTTGAACCTGGGAGGCAGAGGTTGCACTGAGCCAAGATCATGCCACTGCACTCCAGACTGGGTGACAGTGCAAGACTCTCTCAAAAGAAAAATAAGAAAATAATAAAGAAAATAAAAGACACACTATCAAGAAAATGAAAAGACAACCCACAGAATGGGAGAAAATATTCAGAAATCATGCATCTGTAAGTGTCTAGTATTCAGAATATATAAAGAACTCTCACAACTCAAAAGCAAAAAGACAAATAAATCAATCTGAAAATGGGCCAAGCATTTCTTCTAAATACAGAAAAGATACCCAACATCATTAGTCATTAGAGAAATGAAAACCACAGTTTAGGGACTATCTCATATCCACTGAGATGGGTATAATTAACAAATGTTGGTAAAAATGTGGAGAAAACTGGAACCCTCATACACTGCTGGTGAGAATGTATAATGGTATGGTAGATTTGGAATACAGTTTGCAAGTCTTCAAAAAGTTAAACAGAGGTCCCATATAACCTTGCAATTCCTCTAAAATATTCAAGAGGTCTGAAAACATGTTCACACAAAAATTCGTAGATGAATGTTCATAGCAGCATTATTCATCTCATCAATGGATGGATAAGGTGTGGTATAGCCATATAAGGGAATATTATTCAGCCACAAAAAGGAGTTAAGTGCTAATGCGTGCTACAATGTAGATAAGGCTTGAGAATACCATGCTGAGTGAAAGAAGACAGGCACAAGAGACCACATAGTATGTGACTCGTTACATATGATGAGCAGAATAGGCAAATCCATAGAGAGATTAGTGGTTGCCAGCAGCTGGGGACAAGGGTAACAGGGAGTGACTGCTAATGGGTAAGAGGCTTCTCTGTGGGGTGACGAAATCGTTAAAAATTAGAAAGTGGTGATTTACACAACTATTTGAATATACTAAAAACACCAAATTGTACACCTTAAAAGCATGAATTTTATGGTGAATTACATCAACTAAAAAATAGGTGTTTTTTTTTTGCCAAAAGAAAAAAAAGCCTTTATATTCAGGAAACACAAAATCTTTATGTCTCCAAAAAAATTCTACTTTTAAAACTGCACAACAGCTTCAGTTAAAATGGATCTCTTAAAGCACCAAGTTTTAATTTTTTTGTATCTTTGGCACCATGCCACATAAATGTTAATCTGAATAATCCCACTGCTGCCTTTTTACTTAGATTTAGTCCTAACACCTACTTTTGTTCCCTAAAACTAAGTTTTATTTGCTTTTGACTAGAATTCATATAATCAGAAAACTTTATCACAAACATAATCAAAGATGATAGAAAAAAGTGTGGGCTTATTGAATCTAGCATCCTTAATTCATAAAAGTAATCATCTCCCTGCCTTACACTAGGTTACATATACCAAAGGTGCTGGGAATACAAAAATAGATGAAAGGGCCAGGTGCAGTGGCTCAGACCTGTAATCCCAACAATTTGGGAGGTCGAGGTGGGCAGATCACTCGAGTCCAGGAGTGCAAGACTAGCCTGGACAACATGGCGAAACTCCCACTCTACAGAAAAAAATACAAAAATTAGCTGGGCATGGTGGTGCATGCCTATGGTCCCAGGTACTCAGGAGGCTGAGGTGGGAGGATCATTTCTTGAGCCTGTGAGGCAGAGGTTGCAGCAAGCTGAGATTGCACCGCTGTACTCCAGCCTGGATGACGGAGTGAGACCCAGTTTCAAAATAAAAAGGAAGAAGTACAATTCTTCCCTCTTTCTACAGGTTCAAACCCTAGGTATCACTGAGGCAACCTGCATAAAATGTGATTATTATACCAGGTAAAACATGCACCAAGAAGGGGGAAGATACATAAATTCTACTTAATTGAGTACATTTATCTTTTATGGACTCATCTGCCTTGCTATATTTCATTTTCTGTAAAAAATTTTTAATAAGGAAAAGTTCACAAAGGTAAGAGCTAGCATTTTAAAATCTCACAGAGATAAAAGAAACTTATAAATAGCTAATCACTTGTTTGAGGTAATACCCAATTATAGAGCTATACAAATTACACCTATGGAAAAGCTGGAAAAGGCCTTTAAAAGACAAGCCTGGCCACATATGGTGGCTGATGCCTGTAATCCCAGAACTTTGGGAGGCCGAAGTGGGCGGATCACTTGAGCCCAGGAGTTCGACACCAGTCTAGGCAACACAGTGAAACATGTCTCTACTTAAAAAATACAAAAAAAGAAAAAAGAAAAAGGAAAAAAAAAAAAAACCTGGCTTTAGAGCAAAAACCCAAGGCAAGATAGATTAAATTATCTTGACACTAAAGTTAGTGCCTGAGTCCAGTGAATCATTATAGCTGTTTCTCCACATCAAAATCAACGCCCATACCACACATATGCCCTGAAATAGTGTCCAGCTGATGAAACCTCCTTGGAGAATGAAGAACTGAGAATGTTATTTACCGACTTTTTCTTTCTGATGTATATAATATGAATATCTTCACTTCGATACTCTTCATCATGTTTTTCCAAAGGAATTTCTTCAAAGTCAAAGTCTAGCTGAAGGAGCTATAAATTTAAGAGACATACTTCAAATTCAGTAATATGAACTGACCTGTGGGTGACAGAAGTCAGAATGGTGGTTATCTTTTTTTTTTTTTTTTGAGACAGTCTCACTCTGTCACCCAGGCTGGCGTGCAGTGGTGCGATCTTGGCTCACTGCAACCTCCGCCTCCCTGGGTTCAAGCAATTCTCCTGCCTCAGCCTCCTGAGTAGCTGGGATTACAGGAGTGTAACACCACACCCAGCTAATTTTTGTATTTTTTGTAAAGAAAGGGTTTCACCATATTGGCCAGGCTGGTCTCGAACTCCTGACCTCGTGATCCGCCCATCTCGGACTCCCAAAGCGCTGGGATTACAGGCATGAGCCACCGCGCCTGGCCAGTGGTTACCCTTTGAGGAGTACTGCCTGGGAAAGGGCAGTGTGCAAACCTTCCAAGATCCTGAAAATTTCCTCTATCTTTATGTTGGTAATAGTCACTTGGGTGTATACACATGAAAAATTAAGCTCAGCACTTGACTGATAGGTATGCATTTTACATATGCTTTATCAGTAAAAGCTGTTTAACAGTAAGAAATTTTCATTATGAATCATTTCAAAACATGAGCATTTTTCATATTCAAGAAAAACATGAAAACAAAAAAAACATTTTAGTATATGTTACCTGAGGCAGTCATATACCTGCTGTCTCATTAAACCAAAGTAGTCCTTTCAGCAGACAAAACTGCAGGCCTATATAGATGTACCCTCAAAAGCGTACTCACAATGTGACAGTAGATAGAAATCTACTCACAATGTGATAGATTTGTGTCCATAAAAAGGGTTTGGGCTATCACTAGGGGAAGAAGGGTGACAGATACATAAAACCCTATATACTATATTTGCAACTTTGTGTAAGTCTTTTCTAACTACTTCAGAACAAAAAGTTAAAGAAAAAAAAAAGACCCTAAAAATAGACAGTTATCTAGGTTGGAGGTTTCATAAATATGTAGACAAAAACACAGAAGTAAAAACTTATCACTTGGCAACATGGGAAAACCCCATCTCTACAAAAAAACACAAAAAGTGAGTCGGGTCTGGTAATACATGCCTTTTGTCCCAGTTACTTGTGGGGGCTGAGGCAGAAGGATCACTTGAGCCTAGGAGGTTGAGGATGCAGTGAGCCCTGACTATGCCACTGCACTCCGGCATGGGCTATAGGGTGAAACCCTGTCTCAAAACAAAAACAAAAACAAACAAACAAACAAAAACAACTTATCACCTGCACATTTCTTTTTTTTTTTTTTTTGAGACAGAGTCTTGCTTTGTCGCCCAGGCTGGAGTGCAGTGGCCGGATCTCAGCTCACTGCAAGCTCCGCCTCCCGGGTTTACACCATTCTCCTGCCTCAGCCTCCCGAGTAGTTGGGACTACAGGCGCCCGCCACCTTGCCCGGCTAGTTTTTTTGTATTTTTTAGTAGAGACAGGGTTTCACCGTGTTAGCCAGGATGGTCTCGATCTCCTGACCTCGTGATCCACCCGTTTCGGCCTCCCAAAGTGCTAGGATTACAGGCTTGAGCCACCGCGCCCGGCCTCACCTGCACATTTCTATCACGCATTCTCCAAAGGTAATACATACATCATTAATATGTTCCCCAAAGGCAGCATCATGTGGAATAAACACTGAATACTGTTCTTAAAAAGGAGTGGCACCAGTATTATTTAACATTCTTCTGTAGCCATAGATCAACTAATTAGAAATGAAATAAAGGATCAGAAAAGATGAAAAAGGGGAGCTCTGCAGAATCATGGGCTGTGAAGATCCTTTTCTCAGCTTCACACAAACAATGTTTTCCCCACCCAAAATTACCATAAAATACTTGAAGAGTCACATACAGACTCCCTGAAGGGAAATCACTACAAAGATAATACAGCACTTAATACTTACCTCAAAATATTTTTTCTCAATTTCTGGATTTTTTCCCATTGTTCGTTGTTCATAACAACATATAATACAAGTTTCAAATCCACTGATATCTTTTAGAGTTTTCAGCAATGGCTCCAAAGACTATTTAAAAAAGAATATACTTTTTGTTTATGATTTAAAAATTTTTTCTACTCTAAAAGTGGGTTGAGGAGGTAGAGGGATATTTATAGCTCCCCTACAATTTATCCATCTTTGAATCAATTCAACAAAGTACATGTAATTAAAGCTCTAGGCTAGGTGTGGTGGCTCACACCTCTAATATCAACACTTCGGAAGGCAGAGATGAAAGATTGCTTGAAACCAGGAGTTCAAGACCAGCCAGGAAAATACAGCGAGAGACACCCCACCTCCACACACACCTTACAAAAAGTTGAAAAATTAGCCAGCATGCTGGTGCACACCTATAGTCCTAGCTATTGAGGCGGCTGAATGGGAGGACTGAGTCTCACGGGCTCAAGGTTACAGTGAGCTATGCTCACTCCACCGCATTACAACATGTGTGACAGAGCAAGACCTCTACCTTAAAACAAACAAAAACCCCTCTGTAACTAACGATTGGGTAAGCTCCTCTTAACTAAACCATGTGCTGATTTCGGTTTCCAGAAAAAGGATTCAGACAACTGCATTTTGGAGTTCTCATGGAAAAACAAATGTAATCAACTTTACTCAAGAGATTAATTTTATGTAATTTGAGATTTAAATAATCAACAATTTACCCTACAAAAGTTAAATCTGACCCTAACTTGGTTCAGTGCTAATTATTTTTAAAATAACTGATACCCACAACACTATACAAACTGATGCACCTTTTTTTTTTTTTTTTTTGAGACGGAGTTTCGCTCTTGTTGCCCAGGCTAGAATGCAACGGCACTATCTCAGCTCACTGCAACCTCCGCCTCCCGGGTTCAAGCGATCCTCCTGCCTCAGCCTCCCAAATAACTGGGATTACATGCATGCACCACCATGCCAGGCTAATTTTGTATTTTTAGTAGAGACAAGTTTTGTCATGTAGGTCAGGCTGGTCTCGAACTTCCGACCTCAGGTGACCCACCCGCCTTGGCCTCCCAAGTGCTGGGATTACGGGGGTGAACTACCGCGCCCGGTCCAAACTGATATTTAAAGCAAAGAACAGTGAATTATTTACAACTTAATTCTCAATGTCATGGTTAACATGTTCCCTGGGAACAACCAAGGGAAAAAGAGACGATTTTGGCTTTTCATAACATCCAATTGACAAAATCCTTTAAAATTTTTACAGAAGCCGTGAGTAAAATGCATGTAACACTTTTCTCAACATGCTTCACCAGGCCGGTATGTTAATGATGAGCATATATACAAATGGTCCATGGTGACTTTTATCTTTTCTTTACTGCATCAACTATAAGGCAAATCCCGGATTCAAAGATGTTAAAATGTGAAGAAACGTGTGCTTCAGAATCCATGAAATATGGTTCATCTTCTAAATGAAGGTATTTCACTCACTGAATACTTACCTCTTCATAGTATATGCAGTCGGCCATCAGTATATAGTCGGGTGGAGAAGGAAAGCCTTCTATTTCTTCCCCCCTTAAAAATGTCAAACAAATATTTCAATTGTTGTTTTAATAATTCAAAATACTCTTGTTTTATAAAGAACCGAAAAGTCCCCGTCCATCCTTTTAATGAAACGCAATTTAAAACAAACTACAAATCGATATCTTAAAACAAGCTGAAAGGCCATACAAACCATTTCAGTACCTTGGCTTGAACAGAACCAGTGACAAGATGCTTGTTCATATTAATATTCATCTTCAGCAAGTCTTGCAATTCCTCAAGATCGGTGACTACAACATCAGCCCTATAAAATAACGTCGACTGAGGTGTAAGCACAGGCGGGAAAACCTGTAATCTGGATTTCTCCAGCAAGAAGGTGCCCCCACATCCCGCCCGCCCGTCAGCTCTTACCCAAGGGTAGCTGCCATGAGCCCCACGGCCCCGGTACCCGAACCCAGCTCCAGCACCGACCGCCGGCTCAGCGCGTGGGCCCCGTCACCAGAAAACTCGGGCGTTTCCAGGTATTTAGAAAGGACAATGGCAGCGTCCCAAACAACGCAACCCACGCCGCCGGAGCCATACTGCTGTAGTCGTAGCACCGTACCATCCCGCTTCTCCAAAACGCGCACAAAGCTCCCCAGTGGGTCCTCCAGCCAGGACTCCGGCGTAGCCGCCATCGCGGCCGGCAACAGAAAGCAGCGCGCGCAGGCACGTCACATCAGCGCGCACCGCCCCGCCCTGCGGCTCCGCCCCCTCCCCGCGGCTGAGTTGACGCAGCAGCGCGCGTGAGTTAACAAAGCCCGGAAGGCGGCGTTACCTGGGCGGGGCCGAATGGGGGGCTCCGCCTTTCCCGACGCGCTTGGCAGCCCCCGCTCTACTCTAAATCACACGTTTGGCTTAACGAAGAGGCCGTTTAAATCACTTTTCTTGACAAAACTACTATTATAATCTGCTCTTTAAAAAACAAAGCCAACCTCAGAGTTTACCTAGTTGGAGACTTGATTTACAGAGTAGTTACAAGGCTTAAATGCAAGCAGCTTCCAAGATCCTACGAAAGATGGCTATAATCTTACAATCTTCCTTTTCAAGTTCCTAGTATGCTCCTAGTTTTTTGTATGAATTCAAAAAAGTGGTTGCTAGAAGCCTGCAGCTCACATTTAACACTGAAGAAAAATGTGTGTGTGTGTGTGTGTGTGTGTGTGTGTGTGTGTGTCTCTCTACAGGACTCAACAATCTCCCCCTTTGTTCCTTATAATGAAAACACATATTTTAAAAGTCTTTTAAAATTAAGACTGGGGTGATTTATTAATCTTGTTAAGAACTCTGATACAAAGCACAGTAAAAGGCCACAGACCAGTAAATAAACAACGTGGCTTTTGGCTACTTTACAACTGCTGCTACAGCACTATCAGCAAAACACTCTTTATCACTTTGAACAAAGGCATCCAAATGGCAAATAAAAGTTTTACTCACTTATCTGATTAAAACATTTAATAAAGCTTTAAGTATTTGCTGGTTTAAATATTACCAATCTAAAAAATATATTTAAAAAAAATTTCAGTTAACACGAGATTTATAGAGAAAGTTACTAGGTGTTGAAGGCAAGGCAGTTGGTTCCTATGCCATAGAATTTTTTTTGAATTTATGAATTAGTAAAGTAGCAGATTGTATTATAGGCCTCAAGTCACTTAAATTTATATAGATTAGCAGTATCTTTAAATATACAATATAAACAAAACTGTACATACATGGCATATTAACTGTTTTCCATAACAATAGGCAATTCATTAGCTAAAGACATCATAGTCTGCAAAAACAAAAGGCACATCTGAATGAGATACATGCCCTTTTTACCTCCATCATTGGGTTATGTAGTCTTTGATTACATTTTGACAAAATAATAAACACTTACAGTGCCATTCTATTATTTTCATCCTACTTTTCATTTTTGTCTTCAGCAGCAAATACCGGCATTTAAGACATGGAATTAAAGAGTTTAAGAACAGTTGGTGTTATTCACAATTCTCCTAGATGTAAAAACTAGAAGTAAAAACTAGAAGATGGTCAAAGAGGTCTAAAAATCAGTAACACCATATACCCCTCCCATATTTGTGTAAATTCACTGCCTTAAAAAGGCATCTATTACTCAAATTTGAAAAATTTCACAAAAGCACTATCCCTTTTCAGTGCAATCATGTCACTTTAAACCATATTTTTGCAGAGTTTACAGTGCAAATATAAATTCTTTATACTGGCCTTTTGGCAGCACTGAGGATCCAAGACAAGGCAATGCTACTGATCACCTGAGGATAATGGTGAAGGACTTTTGTATTTTTATTTTTCCAATTCTTAAAAGCTTATTTGATCAGTAGCATTTTTGTAAGAGCATTATTTGTAAAAAGTACTAAAATACTATGTCTTTTTTTGAATAAATTAAAAAAAAACTTTACAAATACCATTCCAGTGTCAATGACTACATATGGCTAAGGTCATTGGGGAGTTTCTGCATTTTCTACCAAAGGCAGTCTGTACAATGGGGGGTGCGAAAGCTCCCGTTTGTAAGTCTTTGGTGGCAGTTTTGGCAGATGAGGGCTTGAATTCTGCCTTGGTGGAACAGGGGGAGCTGGAGGATGAGCAAGATTATTCTGACTAGAACTGAGCACATAGCATCGACGTGGTACCCTTGGAGAGGGTGTGCTAGGAGGAGTGCTTGGCGAATTTGGACACGTACTAATGTCTCTGAGCCAGTCTGAATCTCTGTGAAGATGCCCCAGTGGAGGTGGCTGAAGATTAAATGGACAGTTTATAAAGTGTTCTGGAGGCCGAAGGGGAACCGGTGGAGGGGTATCAGGAAGAGGATCTCTTGGTGGTGGTGGAGGTGGACTATGCAGAGGCCCATCAAATGCACCAGTAGGAACAGGAACTCTGGGTTTTACCTTGGGAGGAGGAGGCTGTCTCGGTGGAATAGCAGGAGGATCATCATCAGATTTCATATTTCCCTCAAAAAAAAAAAAAAAAAGTAATTAAATTATACCTCTATTCTCCTGAAAAATTTTTAAAAATGTTAAGTCTGAAAAATTCTTATGTATCAAGTTAAATTCAGAGGCTCAAAATAAACTAATCTGGGTTAATTATCAGATTATGAGTGCTCCTAGTTTAATTCAGGGCTGAATTTAATATTTTTATATATGAGATGTTTTAATTTAAGTCTTAGAACATAACTCTTTATCTTGCTTTGTGCATACATTTCAGAAATTTATGTATTTTAATTATAATAGGTAAGTGACAATTTATTGCTTTATAGCCATGAAAGGACATGATGCCAAGAGGATTTTAATGTCTAGCTTCTGCTTACTGGGCATCTACTGCTCCTTTCTCCAATGAGGCTTAGAGCAGTAGATCTCAAAGTGTGATCCAGGGACCAACAGCATCAGTACCAGCAGGGAACTTGTTAGAAAAGCAAATTCTTGGGCCCCATCCTAGACCTACTGAATCAGAAACTCTGGAGGTGGGGCTCCACAATCTGATTTTACCAAGCCTTTTAGGTAATTCTGATGCACCCTTAAAATTTTGAGAAGCATTAGTTGAAAGTTTGAAGAATGCTTGGAATACTACTCAAGGTTTTTTCCACCTGTACCAGAAAGAAATTGTACTTCCAGCCTCTTTTTCATTTTTAGTTTTTGAAATGGAGTCTTGTTCTGTCGCCTAGGCTGGAGTGCTATGGTACAATCTTGGCTCACTGCAACCTACCTCCACCTCCCAGGTTCAAGTGATTCTCCTGCCTTAGCCTCCTGAGTAGCTGGGGTTACAGGTGCCCACCACCATGTCCGGCTAATTTTTGTATTTTTAGTAGAGACAGGGTTTCACCATATTGGCTAGGCTGGTCTTGAACTCCTGACTTCAGGTGATCTGCCTGCCTCAGCCTCCCAACCAGTGTTTTTTTTTTTTCTTTTGAGACAGAGTTTTGCAATTGTTGCCCAGGCTGGAGTGCAGTGGCACAATCCTGGCTCACTGCAACCTCAACCTCCCAGGTTCAAGCGCTTCTCCTGCCTCAGCCTCCCTAGTAGCTGGAATCAGAGGCACCTGCCACCACACCCAGCTAATTTTTTGTATTTTTAGTAGAGATGGGGTTTCATCATGTTGACCAGGCTGGTCTCGAACTCCTGATCTCAGGTTATCTACCCGCCTCGTCCTCCCAAAGTGCTGGGATTACAGGCATGAGACACCGTGCCTGGCCCAGCCTCTTATTTAGAAAAGGTTTTTATAAGGATTAAACAACTAAAAGTATTTTTCAAATATAACAACCCAAATGTTGAAAAACCATAAATGGTAGCCAAAGTATAATTCACAGACTCTTTATAACACTGGGTATTATTTTGAAGATTCACAACTTTGAATAAGTTGGAGTAAAGTCCTGTTGATTACCTTAGAATTTGAAGCATCATGATCAAACTTTTTTCGAGGAGGAAGAGGAGGAGGAATCAGGGGCTCTTCACTTAGTTTATGTAAACTACCACATGAACTAAAGAAAGACTCTGGGGGAGAAAAAGACTAGTTTAACCACAATTCACAGTATAATTATAAGATAAACCTTTATCACAGCTTCTGGTCGATACTTCTACTATGGCATTTGTCAGACTATCGACTATTGGTTTACCTATCTTCCCCATTAAATTGTAAGCTTTCTGAGGGCAGTGTGTATTTATTTCTGTATCTCTAGCACCACCACAGTGCCTGGGGCATGAATGGGTACTTTAGCTAAATGAAGGTATACCATTTAATTATGATTAATGAGATTCTGCTCCCTGAAAAGTCTTTCACAAATCAAAACATGTCTAAATATACTGTAGTAACTTCCAAAGAAAGACCATCCTAATCAGAGACCATATATTTTTGAAGCAGCTACGATTGGGCCCATCACCACACAGGTAACAAAACCCTCCATATAGGAGCCCATAAGGTAGTGTTAATATCACATAACTCTTTGTCTTTGCAAGTCTCTCATTGATAATGTACACGTTATATAATCACATTAAAGGAAATTTACAAAATGATAAATGACAGGAAAATACCCCTAAACAGATCAACCAGACATATAATAATTACTATCTTCATTTTTACTTTTTCTATAGTTCAACTTCCCATTTGATCTCTCTATATTCACACTGTTGTTACAAAGGCAGTAACTATGTCGTATTTATCATTATACTGAGATCGGGAACACAGGAGCTAACTGGGAAAGAAGTTGATGAGTTTAACCTTAAACACTCTAACTGAACTGCTTATGAGACATCCAAGTAGATATGTCAAACTAATTATTCTGTGTCAAAAATTGCTATCCTGATCATGTGGCTCTGCAGTTACCTCTGGGCGGGGGGCGGGGAGGGGGGAGGAGGGCATCCTGTTGGCTCAGGAGGAAACAGCTGATATAAAAGGTATGCTTATGATGCTTATGAGGTTGGCAGATGGTGAGGGGAGGTTAGGCAGAGGATGTTCCTCAGACCTGCCAGCATTGTTTGTGCGGTCTTTGGGAGAACTCCTCTCGGTGGTGCTATATCTGTCCCATTTGGTTTAGTTGGCCAATCCTGCCCAGGGTACCCCAATTCAAGCCAAGGAGTAGGCATGGGACTCACTTTCTTAACATGATCAGATTTTTATCTACCTCTCTTTCATGCAAGTAGCCATTTTTTTAGGGAAAGCGAACCTGACCCCTTAGCTCCAGGGATGGGGCCTAATTAGTGTAAATCAATCAGAGTAATCCCATTCCTTTAGCCAGAGTGATGAGTTTAACTGTAGGCATGTGACCTAATTCAGACCAGTGAAATTTAAAAGGAGATTTTCTGGAGGCTAATGGAAAGGAAGTTCCTTGCTCTTTTTTGGAAAAGCGTTG